ATAAATTTTCTCGTCCTTATTACAGCAATAGATATACATGCAAATGGGGTCAAAACATTGACCAAAATGTTATTTCAGCAATTCAATGCACAAGCCTCGCAGATTTGTCTTTTATGTCGAAAATCCCGAACTGCGTCTAAAATGAATGAGTGCGCAAACTTGGGCAATTTAGGTTTTGCAGTGTCAAAAGGACACGGCCGTCTTTTCTTTTGAAAATGACCTTAGCTTGATCTATTTCGAATTAAAAAAAATCCTCGACAGATCTACTCTGTAAAATGTCAGGAATAATGTAAGATTATAAGCATTAGAGGAATCGGAGAGGATTCTCTTGTTCAGTCCAAGTCAAATTTTAGGTGCGCAGACATAGGGCTCCCCGGCCATCATACCCTCGTCTCATCAAAGGCAATCCGATGGCATGCTGGCGACATAGTGACGTTCCAAATATTCGGGTTTTGAATTAAACCTTGTTTATGAAGTGTTAAACTGGCATTATTATTTTACATTTGTTGAATTTAATTGATTGTAATGTCATTCTTCTCAACCCTCCTTTGTCCCATTTGCAGGCCAAAAAAATGAAAATGTTTAATTTCAACGGCATTTGAAAGACAAAACTAAATTTGAACTTCCCTTAAAACGAAAGGGCTTGAAAATGGCTTTTAGTGGGAAAAAAATGACCATTAGTTGTTGAATATTTCAAATAGCGCCTAAGGCCATTCCATGGTAGATGCGACCATGACATTATCATAATATGCAGTTCTGATATATAACTTCCAAACGGCAAAAAATATCGGCCGATTTAGTCAAGAATTTTTGTTTCAGAGCTAAAGTAATATTACTCTTGAGAGGGCGCTATACAACATAAAGAGTTTATTATCTAAAATTCCATTACTTCACTATTACTCACTTGTAACTCACTTGATCTTGGATTATTCAGTCTTTAGACTGTTCTTCCTATCCATGGTTTCATTTGGTTGGGGTTGTCATCATATTTATCTGGGGCATCTTTCCACCATTTCTCAAGTCCAGATTTAAAACGATTCATAGTGGTACTCTCCACAACATCGCCTGGGAGACCATTCCACACATTGATTATTCTCTGGCAGAATGAGTTTTTCCTTAATGTCTTCCGGCATTAGACTCAATTTAAACCACGACAACGATCATTGAAAAGCGCATATACTTCCAATATGTTTATTTGAACCAAATTCATGATCCCATACCAAAACTTTGTAATACCTTTAAAGATACTATGTCCCTTTTGCAGCCAACATCAAATTCTGTAGAACGTTGACGGCATTATGAATATGTCATGTATGTCCTATAGAAAACAGTATGTATGTTATGATTCAAATGAATCAGAATTAGTATCTATTACGTGTTGAGTGCCACAAGGGTCAATCCTCGGCCCTTTGTTATTTCTGATATATGTAAATGATATTTATAATTCATCAAATGCACTACAGTATATTTTATTCGCTGATGACACCAATGCATTTTGTTCCAATTCAGATTTTTAGATTCTTTTAAGAAATATTAACGCTGAATTACCAAAGTTATCTAAATGTTTAGAAGACAATAAACTGTCTCTTAATTTAAAGAAAACAAACTATATATATAATTTCAGAACAGAAAAAATAACGATATTCCTGACATTGAAATTACTTGGATGGTGAATTATTGGAAAAAAAAGGATAGCACAACATTCCTTGGTGTTTTGATCAATGAATATCTGAGATGGAATAATCATGAGCAATATATTTCTAATACTATTTCACGTAATATTAGTATTCTCTGTAAATTGAAATATTATCTCCCTTCAAATATCTTGTTTATGTTATATAAGTCATTAATATTGCCTTATATTTCATATTGTAACATTATATGGGCAAATTCGAAAAGCAACGTTGACGCCATTTTACTGTTGCAAAATAAAGCCATGCGTATATGTACCGATTCTTCCTATCGCGACCACACCAATCCCTTGTTTTCAAAACTAAAAACTCTATAAGCTGATGATATGAATATTCTACAAATAGCACTTATCATGTTTCGCTTACAAAATGGTCTACTACCTTCATACTTTCCCCCATTATTTAATTTGAATAAAACCATCCACTCTTACCCTACAAGGCAAACTGAACAATTCAATTTAAGAAATCCAAAAACCGCATTGGCTCTCAAATCCATTAGACACGCCGGCCCAGATATCTGGAACTCTCTGCCCATTGTAATAAGAAACCTTAGGACATATTGATCCTGTCGTGTGTAATTGTACTGTATTCATGTTCGTGTGTACATTGAATGTATATTCAACAATGATGTGTAATCGCCCATGACCTAGCATCGTTCAGCCATTCATGAATGAAACTGCATTCAATCAGCAGATGTATGAGATTTATTGTATTATTACCAACGCTCCTTCTCTCCCCTTTCCTTTTCTTCTCTGCTAGTCTCTCTTTTTTTTTTTCCATTGTATCTAAGTTGAGGGCTGCGGGCACGTCAAGCTACTCTGCTTATTTCTGTAGCCCTCCTGCATCTAATGTATGTTTAATGCATTCAATATATTTGTTTAATTTCGTTTATTAGCTGTATAAAATTATATACACTTTATATTGTATCAAACCATATTATGTTCATTAAAATGTATGATGAAAAAAAGAAAAAAGATGCAGAAACCAATAAATCAAATCAAATCAAATCAAATCTGTGAAATTTAAACGTTAGCAGTGTCCTAATATTCAAATTATGCAAGAAAACCTGTTTACTTCCCAGACTTCACTGTCAGACACTATTGCGTGACTTTCTGGCTTTTTAAAATCTTTGGTAATAACATATTAAATAAAGAGAGCTGTAAAAGGTACATGAGCATTTGTCTACATCAATAACACACTTCTTGTAATGGCCAAAATTAAACTAATTGAATATTTGCGCAGTATAAAAGTACGAACATTCGGTACAATGGTATGGAAATCAGACTATTACTGGCTCTAAAGCTCTTGATTCGACAACTAATAGTCGTTATTTTCCCACTTAAAGACATTTTCAAGCATTCCCTTCTTTTTAGGGAAGTTCTAAATTAGCATTATCTTTCAAATGCCGTCGAATTCAACCTTTTTTTTTTTTTGGGGGGGGGGTCTACAAATGGTACCTTTAATATGTAGATATTTTTTATTTATAAGACGTTTTTTTTAAAAAGAAAGACGATCATTGCTTTATTGAATTTGGTAAGGGGTTCCGAATATCTAGGCCATGATGGCTCATTGACTTTTGTGCTAGAATTATTTTAGGATTTTTAAAGTGGGATATGTGTGAACGTTTGAGTTTAAACTTTAAATGTTGTGAAATAGGGATGGGCATTGATTGTGAGAATATTTATGTATGAAAATGATTGTCTGAAAAATATGAAACTGTTGTATTTTTCATGTTTTTAAACAATGAAAAAAAGACTCCGTATTAATTTTTTTTTTTAAATTAGTAACCATGCGAATCGCTCCTTTTAAGGCAAAAACAGGGAATTAATTTTTGTTATGCCTGTATAAAATAGTTGCATTTAATTAGTCAAAACGGAATTAATTATTGCACAGTTAATGTGGCTAGGTAGGACAAACATTATGGCTCGTTCTACCTAACAACACGGCTGTATGCAACTTCCACGTTAACCATTGACCATTGTCATACAAATAAATTTCTTAACAGGTGAATGAAGTAATTTGTATTGAGATACGTACCAAAATTCGTACATTAAATAGGGTTACATTACGAAAATGGCCTTCTTATTCGTAAAATCTAGCTATGAGGCTAGTTTGCAGGAAGAAACCCTTGACAGTCATAATGCGAACAGAGAGTCTGATCTACTAGACTATGCAGACTGTATTCCTTATGTCACCATGGTTACTGTAGCTAGGAAGCTGCTCATATTTGTTATTTTTTTGCTCTTCTTCTTTCTCTTGTTGCTGTCGTTGTTCTTCTCCTGATTCTTCTTCTTCCTGTTGTTGTTTTTCATGTTCTGTTTGTTCTTCATGTTCTTCTTCTTACTCCTCTTTATATTATTATAGATAGGATTGCTGCTTTTATTATCATTGTAATTACTGTTGATATTGTTATTATTATCATTTTCTATCATAATTTTCATAATTATTACTATTATTGTTATTATTATTATTATTATTATTATTATTATTATCATTATTATTATTGTAAGGGCAACTATTGAACAAACTCAGAAACTGGCAAAGTATAAGCTTGAGTTTAAAGGGCCATCCAAACCTTGTCATAAATTCATTCGTATGAAAGCACATAATTAAGATAAACAGAATGGCAAAAGTTTGAAATAATTTGGACCGATAATAAGAGGGTTATGAATGATTCAAGACGTTATAGACGTGTATGATGTGTATACAGTCTTTGCATCCAGACTACTATTGCGCCGGGGAATCCCAACTCGACGGCACCCAACACCATTTTGCTCCTATTCATGTACGTATTATAATCCTTTTCTCCTGACGCCATTACTGGTGGAAGATCCTCATTCAGATCAATACTACATGCCGCGATGACAATGTAGGCCAATGCTGGACGTATGTTATCACCAGTCATAACGACAACAGGTGTTGACAACAAAATGCAATAATCTGCTGAAAATTTGAGTAGTTTATTGTGTTTTACAAGATGGAGAATGATCAGACGCAAAACAACCAGCATGGTACTGCCCCTAACTACAGGGCACGGCCTGGTGTTGTGTCTAGCATCATCATAATTGTCTCCAATGTGTTAGCAGTAGCCTTTAGTTTTGCCAGTGATCAATCAAGAGATGATGTAAAATGGTCTTCTGGCATTCCCGGTTTTATGGTAAGTAACTGTTTTCTCGACATTGAGAAACATATTTTTTATTAAGTAGTCATTATAAACAAATCGAACTCATTCAGTTTAGAGTATAATCTTGCTAATCAGCCAAATGCCAAATGCCAAAATGCCAAATGCCAAACAACATGATACAACATGTGAGTCGTCAATCTACGTTTTTCTCTCAGAATTTTACCAATTTTACCAGTTTTACACTCTCTTGCCAGCAATCTTTTGCTAGTAATGTGGAGGTATTACTCTATAGCAGCAGCAAGCATCCTTGTAGATATATACTTGGACTATTAAGTGGTAAAATTTAGAGTTTGGTTTGCTTCAGCAGGAACTGGAATTGGATATCTGGCTTTGTATTGTCCCATCTATATACATTAGTGTAAGTACAGAACTGCATTGTCTGCTTTGTACTATCCTGTATTACTATCACTGAGTATTACTGTCATTCTTTTCAACGATATTCAACTATCACCATGTCTGTTGCAAATGCATTTGACTTGCTGGAGGTGGAAGGTGTTCGCGATGGGGACGTGTCATTTAGACTTGATGATGTAGTACAGGGTGCGATGGAGCACATTCCTGAAGGGGGCATTAACCGGCAGCTAGTGGGAGATGTTGTCAAAGCGGTGGTTGCTGCATTGCTACCCGTGATGCAGTCGATAGCTGCACAGGTGTCTCCCAAGGTTTCGGTGCAGAAGGTGCAGGCATCCCTGCAGAAGCATGATGTGCGGCTCGATGAGATGGAGCAGTACTCCAGAAGGGACAACATCGTGCTGCGGGGGGTGCCGGAGAAGGAAGGGGAGAACACCAATGATGTCGTCATCGAGGTGTCGGCGTCTACTGGCATTAAGGTGGTGGGGGCTGACATCAGCACCAGCCATAGGATTGGACGCCCCCAGCCAAACAGGTCAAGGCCAATCGTCGCCAGATTTGTCCGCCGGGATCTGCGGACTGACATCCTCCGCAACAAGAGGAAGTTGAGGGACTCTCAACACAAAGACATTATGGTGTCCGAGCACTTGGCACCTGGCCGTGCCAAGTTACTACACGCCGTCAAGCAGGACGACCAGGTGGAGAGGGTGTGGACAATTGACGGAAAGGTGCACTGTATCCTGAAAGGTGACCCCAGGAAACAAATTATCCATGGACCGGATGACCTTTTCCGTCGGCTAGGCTGGTCAGAAGACCGATTGAAACAGTCTGGCCTGTTTACTGAAGTCTCCAGCTAGGAAGTATTCGGCCCTCTCTCAAATCTTTCAAATCTTTCAAATCTTTCAAATCTTTCAAATCTTTCAAATCTTTCAAATCTTTCAAATCTTTCAATGCTCAGCCTTAATGTTAATGGTTTAAAGAGTAAACTTGACACTGGACTTTTGGATTTATACTCCAAAAATTTTGATATAATATGTCTCACTGAAACAAAAACAGATACACCCGATCTTTTAAATACTTACTTGTCCGAATATAAATGTCATAGCATGCAAAAGAGCTCGAATAAGCAGCAGTATGGTGGTTTTCATGGTATGTGTATTTTAATGAAAAATTCTATTTTTGAGTGTTCTACACGAATTAAGCCTACTCTCTCAGAATCTGTCATATGGGTGAAGGTCGGGAGTGAGCTTCTAGGCTTTCCGTTTATTCTTGGTGCTATTTATCTCCCATGTGAGGGATCCATTCATTATTCTCATGAAGTGTTTGATGATTTATGTAATGACATCGTTGATATTAAAAGTAAACATAATGCACCATTTTGTTTATTAGGGGACTTTAATGCCAGAACAGGGATGCTTGATGATTTTTTGGATGTAGATGATTTTGTGGACCAGTCCAGCCTAGGAGCTTGTGATGGTGACTTGGATATGTATGATACCGATATTTTTAATTCTCGTTCTAATAATGATACAGTTGTTAATAATAATGGCAAGAAAGTTATTGAGATGTGCCAAAGTTTTGATTTAAGAATTGTGAATGGTAGAGCAGGTAGTGATCACACTATTGGAAAGTATACCTGTTTTAATAATGGTGGCCGTAGCACTGTTGATTATGCTATTATGTCAAAACGATTATTTCCATTAGTAGAAGATTTTAATGTTGATATTTTTGATAGATGTTTGTCTGATGTACATTGCCCTATTATGCTGACCTTGCAATCTGAAGATATTTTGAACAGTGATTCATTGAGAAATGAAAGTAGGGAAGCACGCACAGGGCCAGACAAGCCAAATTATCTTGCCTTTCAATGGAATAGTAATAGTATGTTAGACTTTAAGCAGCATACTAAAGATTATAGCGAGGTAATGCATAAATATGTAGATCAACTTGAAGCTGATGTTAATCAGGAAGGTATTGATATTTTTTATTCACATTTGTGCGATATGTTTTTGAGTACGGCAAAGGAAGTTGGAGTGTGTAAATTAAAGCATCATAAAAAAGATGGAAGTAAATCAGGTAACAGTCAGAGTAAGCAAAGTCAACAGCCATGGTTTGATACTGAATGTAGAGATGCTCGGAAGGAATATTTGAATGTTAAAAATAGATGGAAGAGGAAGGTAAAATTGATGAGGAACTCTGATGTTCCTGTTGATTCAAGTAATTATGATAGTGCAGGGAAATCTTATAGGAATTTGTTACGTTGTAAAAAGAGGTTATATTTTCAGGACTTGAATAAATCATTACGTTCATTGCGGACAAAAAATCCCAAGGAATATTGGCAGCTACTGAATGGTAAAAATGAACGTAAGGAGAAAGATATTGGAAATGTTTCATTAAAGGATTTTTTAAATCATTTTAGTCGTCTAAGTTATAAGGAGGTTGATGAGCCAGAACCCCCAATTGTTATGCAAGAGTTATCTCAGGAAAATGTTTGTCTCGATGTTCCTATTACTTTGAAGGAAGTTGACATGATGATTAAGAAGCTTAAAAATACTAAAGCTTGTGGAAGGGACTCTATTAGAAATGAGTTCCTTAAAAGTTGCCCCCTGGAGATTCTTCAGGTTGTAGTTAAGTTCTTTAATGTTGTATTGAATTCTGGTATTGTTCCAACAGAATGGTGTATTGGGATAATTATTCCTATATTTAAGAATAAGGGAGAGAATACAAACCCTGATAATTATAGAGGCATTACTTTGTTGAGTTGCTTAGGTAAGCTGTTCACATCAATTTTGAACTATAGGATCACTCAGTTTTTTGAGGATGAGAGTTTGTTAGGAGAAGAGCAAGCTGGCTTCCGGTCCAACTATTCAATCACAGATAATGTATATGTTTTAAAGTCTATTATTGATGTTTATTTAAAGAATTCTAAACGCCTTTATTGTGCATTCATTGACTATAAGAAAGCCTTTGATTTGGTTGACCGTGCAGCATTGTGGGTTAAAATGTTTAGAATGGGAGTAAAAGGCAAGATTTTTAATGTTATAAGGAACATGTACAGGTGTGCAAAATCATGTGTTGCTAATGAGGGAGATATGTCCAGTTTATTTACATGCAATATTGGAGTGCGTCAAGGTGAAAACCTCTCACCTCTCTTGTTTGCTATTTATTTGAACGATTTCCAACAATCTATAGGAAACTCGTACAAGGGCTTAGAATTTTTGAATACTATTATTAAAAATAAGTTGCCTTTTGATGGTATTGAAATATATAAGGAGTTATCTTCTTTGTTATATGCTGATGACACAATTATTCTAGCAGAAACTCCTGAAGAGTTGCAAAAAGCCCTAAACGCAGTGAAAGATTATTGTGATACTTGGCACTTAACTGTTAATGCCAGCAAAACAAAAATTGTTGTTTTTTCACGTGGGAAAGTTAGAAGAATGCCAGAATTTGTTTATGATGGTGGTGTACTGGAAGTTGTTTATGACTTTGTATAATTAGGAGTGACGTTTAATTATAATGGTAACTTTAAAAAAGCAATTGCTAAACAGGTCACACAAGCTCGAAAGGCAATGTATAGTATGTTAGTAAAGGCAAAAAGGTTGCATTTATCTGTTGATACACAATGTCATTTATTTGATCACTTAGTTTTGCCAATTCTATTATATGGTGCTGAGGTCTGGGGCTATGAGTGTATAGATCAACTTGAAGTTTTCCAAAGAAAATTTTTAAGAACGATATTGTTTGTAAATAAGTGCACACCTGACTGCATGGTTTATGGTGAAACTGGACGTGGTAAAATACTCGATAAAATTAAGTGTAGGATGATTGGATATTGGGTTAGATTAGTTAAAGGGAAGCAATCAAAATATTCATTGATTCTTTTTAAGTTTCTGTTGCAGTTGCAAAGTGAAGGACAAAGTTTAGTTAATATAAAGTCACAATGGGTCGAGTTTCTTACAGACAGTTTTGACTATGCAGGACTTGGGAACGTCTGGCGAGCTCAAGGAGAAGGATATAGTGCTGCCTGGATTATGAATACTATGAAAACCAGGCTTTCTGACATGTCTATTCAGGAATGGAGCGCAGCTACCTGGTCAAATCGTATTTGCACGAACTATAGGATGTTTAAGAATGAGTTGGTTTATGAAAAATACCTGCAGATATTATGTCAGAAGGAAGCAATAACTTTAAGTAAATTTAGATGCAGAACACATAGATTACCAGTTAATAAAGGTAGATTTGATGCAAATGTAGTAGATGATTTGCAATGCCCACTCTGTTCACCAACAGATATTGGTGATGAATTTCATTATATTTTTGTATGTCCATTCTTTCAAAATGAAAGAAAAATGTATATACCAAATAACTTGTGTGGTAGTAGCTTAAGACCAAGTGCATTGCACATGGATAAGGTTTTTAATACAGTTCACGCTTGCCAGCTAAAGAAATTAGCCAAATTTGTTAGAATTATTATGTCATATTTTTCAAAAGATTCAAGGGTAGATGGTAATACCGTAAATGATAGCTCACAAATAAGCAATGTTGTTAGGCACACTCGTAGCGGTAGGAGGGTGAATTGCCCAGTTCGCCTTGATTTGTAAATATGTTTATTTGTTCATATTATCACATGCTTATCATTGTTCATATTATCATATGTTTTTTATTGTTCATATTATCACATGTTTATTATTGTTCATATTATCACATGTTTGTCTTAGTTTATATTATCTTATTATGTTAATCAATTTTCATGTTATCACATGTTTATCATTGTTATACTATTGTTATATTGATACTATGTTGTAAATATGTTTGTACTCTCATACCCCGAGAGGGGGTCGATAGAGTCAATAAAATCTTACAATCTTACAAACCTGATCTTTTATAATTAAAATAAAAAGACAACAAACATCTCCTGATAATTATGTTAGTATTATAGCTTTGCCATTCTGATTCTAATACATGTATTACTAAACGATTGTGAATATGATTGTTAATACCTTAGAAAATCAACGTATTTAATAGGCTTGTGCGCCACATATTGAAATGTGTAAAAGTGACAATGACAATTACACATAACATCATCCCTATTTTTATTTATGTAGCCTATAAGCAGTGCTGTTAGATGTTGATATTCCCTTTACCCTAAAAGAGTCGGAGTTAAAATCGCCAGACACACACCGCGATATGCTTGAGGATGGTGTTTTTTATTTAATTTTTTATTCAAGGTGAATACAAAATTAAACTAGTTGTTTTTTATTTGTGGGAAGTACCCCCTACCCTAGCCCCCGCTGCGTACAGTCGTGGTTCAGTGACAAAGCAATGGCCTAGTAACTGTGAAGCCCCAGTATAAAAACCGTGTCGATGTGCTTTATTAGTGCCATTTTGTGGGGCATTAATCCTCATTACTGTCATTTATGACTTAAGGGCGTATTTCCCCTAGTTGATAGGCATAATAGCATACACAAGCTTTAGCACTCATACAAAACATACGAATATATACTATTATCTTGATTTATTAGGAATAAATTATTGTCAAAATAATTCCATAAATTGGGTGAAAAAAAAATATTCCAACTATATGAGCGACAGTGTATTAAGACATAATCACACAAACACACACACACACACTATACATACAAAACTATTTGGAATCCATGAAACTATATGAATTTCCGAAATGAATTTGACTGCCTAAAAAGCTCAACGTGCCTGTTTCTGTTAATTTGAATGAAAGCACGTTAACGATTTTGTTTTTACTATACAATGAAATCGAATGCGAAAAAATTATTCTAATTTGAATGACCTAAACTGAAATTATATTGCCAATGTATCACTTTGGATGCTCATAATTAATTCACGTGTGTCCAAATGAATTCCATTTTTTGTAGTTTATCATACAAGCACTGATCATTTTGTTCTCCTGGTGATTCCATAATGACGTTTGATGCTTTGAAGGTAAGGCTAAGTGTCGATCGTTTTTGAGTCGGTATAGAGTCAGTTCGGTACAGTGTGACCCGGGTGTCAGTAATTGGTTTCTTCACTTGAGCAATCATCCTAACTCAAAGATTCCTGTTTTTCTTTTTTTCAGATACCAATTTTGATTACCAGCTGCATCGGTGTGAAAGCTGCCAATAAAAGAGAACGCTGGGTTGGTATTTTCTTATCTAATAACACGATCGTAAAGACTTTCGAACTATTAGGTCCAATCTCAAATTTTAGCAGTGTTCACAAGCAATTTTTGTCGGCGTAAAGGTCGCGTTTAGAGCTAGTCGGCATAAATATAGTGAAGTCGGCGACAGCCGTGTTATCTACGCCGAACTTAACGCCTACCGATTTACTCCTGGATTTTTACCAGGAGTAACAGGCTAACACTAGAGGGTAATGTAAGTTAACCGTGTGGACGCTCTCACTTGGTACTCAGAGTATCTGTGACCTTTCACGAGGGTTGTTTTTTTTTAAATAAAAAATGATAATTGATTTCGCGCGGTTTAGATGCGGAAGGTGGGTTGAGGTCGATTAGTTCGGGCGTCACCACTTCCAGGTGCGGATCAAGGTTGGCGTGCGGGCGCACGCCAACCTTTTTACCTTCCAAAAAAAATCACATAAATGTTCTGTGTACTCATTCAGACCTTAAAGGGATAGTTGAGTTCTGTTGCAGAGGGCGCTACACAAAATATTTTTTTGTGAGATAATGAAAAGATGAGTGTCAAATTTGAAAGGACATAATATTTAAACGTCAAAATCATCTTTGATCAAAATCGGTTCAGAGACGGCTGAAATATAACGATTTCTAATACTTGTGTACCACCACAAATATTAGATATTTTGAAAAATTTGAGAAAACCGTTGAAAAAAACGAAATAACGCCTTTTTCGTCTCATTTCAGCCAATGCCGATATTGGCTTTTTTGTTGGAATTTTCGTGTTGCTTATATTACCCACAATTAGCCGGCTCATGTATTGTTATTTTTAATTAAATAATTAATAAACGGTCACCGTGTTTTTTTTTAAGTGGAGCTGAATTGGTATGATCGTATTGGCTAAATTTCACACATTTTGGGGTCTAAAATTATCTTCATAGCAATTTTAGGTTCTAAAAGGGCACTAGAAATGTCATAGATAAGAATAAGAGCAATAACCACGCACTTTGGAGGCATTTGCGGTCTGAGAACAGAACTCAACTATCCCTTTAAAGGCTACTCGCTCGGAAATTCGTACATTTACCGCCCTCCCCCGACCCCCCCCCCTCCCCTTCGATCCTTTGGAAAATCGTGGATCCACCCCTGACTCCTCAAATTTACTGGAGTAACACTGGGTCGGTGGAAGGTCGTGTTAACTTAATCGTAGCAAGTTGGTCTGAGTAAGAGGGTATGAACAACTAATGGTGGAAGTAAAATATTTATGGAATATCAATTAACTGATACAGGGATTAAAAATACGACAGCCCTCGTTTGAGCATGGCTCGATTACCTGTGGTTGATTTTTTCGAAAGTCATTGCGTTTGTGTTTTATGTATTTCTAGATATAGAGATATTTGAAACAGAATATTGCGCCATATAATTTATGCTGTTAATCATCACCATCAGACAGCCGCAGGCGCGTACGCAAGGGGGAGGGGGGGGGGGGGGGGGGGTTTGGGGTTAACCCCCCCTTGAGTTTTTTTTTATGTGTATTTTTTGTGTGATAACCCTCCCCCCCCCCTTTTGAGTTAAAAAAAAAATTATGACAATGGCTGACCTAAAAAAAGTGTCCTCTTACCCCCCCCCCCCCCCCTGAGCGACTTTTCGGCTGGCAACTTGGCGCGCGCCATTACATTCCAGTGGATTCCAATAGGCGGATTGTTTGCGCCAAAGTGCGATATGTTCGCTCCATTTGGTGCCACTTGGCGGACACTTGGCGCTTATTGCTCGATGCAAGTGGCGCGACGAAAATTTCAAACATTTTGAAATTTTCTTGCCGACACATTCAAATTTGGTGCCGTTACGGCCCACCACGAGCCAGTTGGGAGGCAGTTTGATCCACTACACGCCACTAGTCACCTTATTGGCGACACTAGGCGCCACAGTAAATTCCATTGGCGCAAACTGGCACCAACTGGCGCTGGCCCAGTGGACTCCTAGCATGAGGTATGTTTCGAAACGAGGAGACACAGGCCGTTATGCACATCCCATTCTTCTTTGTATTGCTGCGTCACCATTTCTACTTCCACCTCTCTCTGACATATTATCAATATATAGTATTCATCCTGTATTATTGATTCTGTATATACTTGATCATATCATTTCTTATATTATTCCTTTCCAGGTAGTGGCATATCTAGTTATGGCTATCATTAGTACCGCATGTGCTGTTGTTCAGATCGGTTTGACTTCAAGCGATATAGTAGTTTGTTACATCCGTGTCGCTGTTACTGCTTGTACGGTAAAAAAAAAATCCACTTGTAGGCTATTATAAAATCCATAATTATACAATTCAACCATGTACTGTACTATGGTGCGTCAATTTCCGAAGGGTCGTTTATCCGAAGCTTCTTGATTGCGAGATTGCATTAGGGTTCATAATTCTGGCAAATGATATAGGATCCCTTTTTCTGAACGTTTCTCATTCCGAAATATGATACAGGGATCCTAGTTATTATCGAGATTATATGGAAACGATGTGTTGCCTAGAAAAATAGCATCACTGGCTTTCAGACAATATCAGCCCACGATAGCCTTATAGCCTTTTGATGTGATAGCTTGTTCCAACAATTCCAGTTGTGAAAATCATAACGGTATCGACTTTGACACACAGGTAGACGAGTAAGTTAGAGCAAAATCCTCTAGAGTAAAATCTTGTGTTAAATGTTATTACTTGCAAGGGCCACCTCGCCACCCTCTATCTTACAATTTATTTCTCCTTTTGGCTTTAGGGTAAACGCAAGGCCTGCCTCGTCTTATCCCTTATCAGCAGCTTTGTAACATGTGTGGCTAGTATCACGGCTTCTTGCATTGCTTGTTACGGGTGTTGTCCATGCTGTAAAGATTCCAAGCCTCTTGTATCGACACAGTCTGGTAAATAGTTTAAGATTGTATTTCTGCTTTGAGGGGCATGGTTATTGCCCCAGTGTAACCTGTATTATTTTTTTTAGAGATAAGCAAGGCCAGTAGTCTGTCGGAATTCTGTCGGTATATTCTTCATTAAAAGAAACTGCGCAATTGCGCATCGTGTGATGCACAAAGCAATTCACAATTCATGATGGTCGTTTCATTGTTTTCCTAGGCAGAGCAACCCTTGTTAAATAATATTAATAATAATAATAATAATTATTATTATATTAAGATTATTATTACGTTTTATTTACCCAGGGTAGTCTCATCAGTACAATAGAATTAACTCGTAAATTTAAACTCTTCTCTTTCTGGAAACTTTTACATATAAAACGCGATTTGCCATCGTAGTTTTTTTGGTCTTCTCATCTTGTTCATCCTTTCCAATCACTCGTCCTGATCGGTTGTCCTATTTTTTTGTTGTTATGCCATTCGATAAAGGGCACGTGCCGCCCCCCCCCCCATTTGTCTACACAACTGTTAAACATACCCCCGGAATATTTGTTCTTGCTTTTGTAGCTGGGATAGTAGATGATTATAATCTTTCCCTCTCACTCTCTGTTGTATTTCAGACACTGCTAATACCTGTCGTGTATTTGAAAATGAACAAGGTATGTACAGTATATAACATGAACATTGACATAAAAGTATATGAACGGTTAGTCAGCATACACTGACGGCTTTTTCAGATATGCCGCGGTAAACCGCCGCCCAAAAGAAACCGCCGCGGTTTATATTTCTGTACGTGCAGTTGCGCGCAGGAAAAGGTCCCACGCTTATTTACTGAGCTCTGCTGTAAGATACAACATAAACATATGTTAAGCATATTACACCTACGTCATAATAAAAAAATGCCGCTGTTTAGCATCATATCTGAACAAGGCTTATGGGCTTGTTCACATACATTGCGGCCATTTACCGCAATGTTGCTCAATCGTCCTTAAGCGTACTGCACGTCAAACATTTCTACCCATGTTTGAATTGTTTATCCGGGAACATTATTGCACTAATTCCAGAAATATCAGTCTTATTGACCCATATAACGATGTTTTGGTCATATTTTCCACTTTTGGGCCAGAATTAACCATTATGGTCACTTTTGGTTAGGGGTATGATTTTTCCTATCGTTATTATCATCAAAGGCGGTTTGGTGGCAGAAAAAGTGGTCCAATTATCCCCAATCAACAGCAACATGTACATTTAGGTGAATTTTTGGCCCAAAATGACCATTGGTATTATTATTTGTCCAAAATCAGTCCAAATTTTCATTCTGAATTTATTTCTGAGTGGGTTTTGACATTAACATTCAAAATCAAGATTTGCGCTGATATCAGAACATTCCATCCCATTGAATGAATTTATTCTGTTCGGACCACTTTGGTTATTTTCAATCGCAGGATAGCATTTTGCTGCGCAGTACCAGTTGAAAAATGTCTACCCGCGAGCCGACAGATTCATCCCTTTCCATATTTTATTTCAATTTTCATCAGAGCCACAAACTGACGTTATGCCCGACATAGACGGCTTATACACGGATTGGAAGATACAAAAGGCAGAGCCAAGGAAGGAACAATTTGACCCCGAAGAGGTAAATATACGCTCTAGGGGGATTGTCACTTTACTCTTTTTTGGGTCATTTATGTCACCTTTTCTCCAAAGTGCCTTCTATCTTGGGATACTCCTTAAAATACATTATGGATAGCATAATTATTATAAGACTTCTAAAAGTAAAGTCCCTCCTGAGACTTACATACATTTTAATGATTTTGTGTGTTGGAACAAATTGGAGAGTTGTCCGACACTACATCACATTGACATTGTAGATTTGGGCAATTCGAAATTCCCTTTATAGTGATTCAAACATAACAAAAAAACCTACCTTTCTTAATGTTATTTTATATTTCGTTCAAAAATTCTGGTTTTCTAATGATTTGTTTCATAGAAATTTTGCTATATAATAATGTTGATTTTCGTTTATACCCGTCAGAATTATGTGATGCATACATCTGTATACAAGGGGCTCATACTCGTACTAAACAACAATCATTTCCATGAGGGCAAAGATCGACCTGGATCGGAGCTGGACTTGATTAATATTGAACATGTCTTCAGACAAATCGGCTACGAACCTGTCATCATGAGAAACTTGTCTGCTAATGTAAGTCAACGTCGTTATGCAGAGAATAGCGCGACTTTGTGTGCGAAACTCTGAAAATCTGACTAAAGGTTGCTGCAATAACTTACACTATAATGTTCTACAAGACTGTACAAGCGGATTCAGAACTCATATCCAGGGGCGAATCCAGCCGGTGGCAGGGGAGGGGGCCCAATTCGTGAGAAAATATTTAGCGGCGAGTGGGGGGGGGGGGGGGGGGGGGCTTTGGGGGTAGTGAGCACTAATTTTTTCCAAGAGGGAGGACCCGCCCCCCCCCCCCCTGGATCCGCCACTGCTCTGATCCATATGCCTTTTCTCTGGAAGAAGCTTCCATTCGTATTTTATCGTTATGTGGATGTTTCAAGGAATTTTTTAAAAGTCAAATTTCTCATTTATGAATCCGTGATCAACATGAACGTTATATTTCACCTGTAGATCGATAGACATGATTATCTCCCTGTTTCACAATGCAATGATGTTTATCGCTTAGAAACTAAGAGCTCTAAGAAATAAGTGTCTTTGCAAAGGCCTGATGATTTTTGTCACTCTTGTATTCTGCACTCCATTAATCATTCTGCAAGTCAAACTAGCCATTTGTGATAACTATTTTTTCTTCTTTTTTCTTTGTCATCAGTTTTGAGAGGTGAATCCGCCACTATTTTTATTCATCTTTCCACATTTCTGTATACCTCATCCCTGCCGGAAACTTTATGTTTTCGGGTTATCCGTCCGTCCGTCCTTTAGTCCATTCCGCTTTCTCGTTAACGCGATATCTCGAGAACTACCTTAAATATGAACTTCAAACTTGTTGATATTATGTATCACCAGGCGCGTACGCAGGGGGGGGGGGGGGGGGGGGGGGGGGGGGTGGCGGTTTGGGGTTAAACCCCCTTGAGTTTTTTGTATGTGTATGTTTTGTGTATGTTTTTTGTGAACCCCCCTTCCAATGGCTGACCTAAAAAAGGTGACCTTACCCCCCTCCCCCCCCCCAGGCCATTTATGCCACTAATTCTTCTAAATCGTGGTCACAAATCTACAGAATTTACACTTATTGATACTTATTTACACTTATCGGTTTGGGGTTAAACCCCCCTTGAGTTTTTGTATGTGTATGTTTTGTGTATGTTTTTTGTGAACCCCCCCTTCCAATGGCTGACCTAAAAAAGGTGACCTTACCCCCCTCCCCCCCCCCCCAGGCCATTTATGCCACTAATTCTTCTAAATCGTGGTCACAAATCTACAGAATTTACACTTATTGATAGTTCATTATTGAAGGAAAAATTATTTAAAGATCATAGTTGAGAGACCAACAGGAAGAGCAACCAGTGGCATGAATGACCTTTCATAGTTAAGTCGGACTGAAAGACGATCTTAGTCTTTGTGAAACAACCCCGAGGAAAGATTTTTGGTAAATAGGCCAAAGGTCACAGAGGTCAATTTCTGATATTACACATTTAAGCTTTACTCTTGCGATATCTCAAGAACACCTGGCGCTATGGTAATCAAACTGTGTAATTTAATGTATCACTATAAAAGACAGCCTTATTAGGCTTCCTTTTTTAGGGCCGCCTCGTTTTTTTTTCTTCTTTTTTATTAATTTTTCTTATTTTTTTTAAGAAAAAAAAGAAGAAAAACACTGCTAAAATGGATCTATTTCTGCTTTAAAAAAAAAAAAAAAAAAAAAATCCCGGCGGCCATCTTAAAAAAATAGCCCAACTGTCGGGGAAAATGTACCGAGCGGCCATTTTGAGCAGCCATTTTGGAAAAAAAAAGAAAAAAAAGAGGTCCTCCTCCTTCCTATTTTTCAAAGAGGCAGGACGCTAAAGATGTTTTTGTTTATATTTGGACTAACATGATTACTTTAGGAAGACGTTCCAATTACATTTTGGGACTCGTACTAGGTCAAGATCATTGTCTTTTGTTGAAAATTGATTTAATACAGGCTTTACGTTTTCCTCGTGATATTTCACGAAAATTCCACCCATTTCCTGTCAATTTAGGGCGGATGCATATATAGGAGACTCAGTCGCATTTGTGTTGTTTTAAATGAATTACTGATGGAAAATCATTAGTTTGTTATATTAGATATCTCGAACAGATACAAAGACTTGATTGGCCCATATCACGGGATATCAATAGCGAGGATTTTAATTAGGATATTTCACGCCTGGTCATTTTTCGATGGTTATACTGACCAGTAGGTCAAATGGGTATATTTTTTTCCTCTTACCGTATCCAAGCAACCCTTGATTAAGTCACAGCGAGACAGACAACGAACTCGCCATTAGACATTCAGATGAAATGTGTCAAAAATGTGTCAGTGACATTGTGCCTTGTTCCATCATTCAAATAAAAGACCAGCTTAACAGTCCAATATAATATATGATTTATGTACGGTTATCATCATAAACATTGATATTATCATTATTATTGTGATTATGATTAATACTGAATTATGATGAGAATACTAACATTCTGGTGAGATCAAAATTCAAATCGGCCTCAAATCGTAGACATTCACACTACTGGTATGACATCACTACGATTCTGAGTCGATTTAGTTATTCCTCCTCCTAGCTAGGAAGCTTGAATCCATCGAAATTTTAATTTTATTGATCATTTGACTACTCAAATCATCGATCATTAACATTTTTTAAGTTTAAATGTTCATAGGAGGGTCGTGGCCGAATGGTTTAAGGCGCTTGACTTGGGGATGCTAAGGTCGAGAGTTCGGATCCCGACAAGGCACTAATATCCTTTGGCAAGATATTACCCTGCACTTGCTACTCTCAACCCAGGTGTTAAATGGGTACCCGGTAGGATGCGACCGTCATTGTTGGTCAAACAGATTTTGAGTGTTAAGTAACGCCTGGCTGGAATGCTCCACAGGGAGTGAATATTGTGCACACAGTGTGTGTGGGCAAGTATTGAATCCAATGACCGGAGTAATAGTATATCTGTAAAGCGCTTAGAGACATCATATATGTATTAAGCGCTATATAAAAGCGGAATTATTATTATTATTATTAAATGCTATTGCAAATTCTTCCAAAGTCCGATCGTAATCAGATCGTATAGTGTGTGCAGTGGGCTTAAGTCACAATGAATCACTTTTTTTATTCATTTTTGCAGGTTATTTTTCAATCCGCAATCAAGTGAAAGGTTCCTGGTTCATACAGAGCTTATGTGAGGAGTTGATTGCCCACGTACACATTGACGATCTTGACACCATCATGAACAGGGTGATTATCAAACAATATCTTTATGAAATGATGACGTAGATCCTAATCATAATGATTGGTTAAGAGCGGGCAGAGACCTAACTAATTGTTATAGCCCTTGCTACCGCCTTCGAGATCGACAGTTGGACATATTAACGATAATGATAATAAAAATAATAATAATATCAATAAGAACAATGTTGTGCCTCATCAGATATGTGCATGTATATATAAATACATATACATTCGATATCAAGTCCTCGTGTTGGCATACTTATATATATTTACATAATGACATAATTATATATTACCATAATAAGACTGAATTTGCTTCAAATTAGGAACAATCGTGCGATCGGGATATTACGCTAGCCTTTCATATCATACCTTTTATTTTATTTTCTTTTATATATTTTTGATTATATAACAGGTAACACGGCGTGTTATCGGCTTTACGCGTTCTGTAGTCGATGGCGATGGAAAGAAGAAAAAATGGTTACAAACTCCAGATATATCCAAGCAAGGCATCGGAAAGAAGATTTACTTCATGCCTAACTACCCACCTCGTTCTGATGCCGAATGCAGTTTGACTGACCAGCCTCGTTCTGATGCCGCATGCAGCTTGACCCAACAACCAGGCCCATCATCAGAACCACAAGGCCAGTGTTCAACACATAGTGAATGATTTTTAGATTGCTTTGTCAGACGCTATCACGCCTTATCGGGGAATATATAGAATATAGCGTTAAAAAAAAAGCTTCTTCTTTTTTGTCGATCGGGGTGACCCAGAACTGGTAGCTTCAATCACTTAATTTCAAACCAGTGTCAGACAGACGGTTTATCGACTCGATCTTTGTTTCTGTCGAAACCTTTGCACCAAAAAAAAAGACGGCGGTAAAGCACGCAGATAGCCCGAGTGCCAGGCGAATGTTTGAATAAAGATTTGTGATGTATGAACCATTCATTGCTGGTATTATCAAAAGTGGTTGTGATAACGAGCAATGGCTAAACCGCTGTTCACATTCTGACGAGAAAAATTGAAACTGTAAAAGTGAATCGAAACTCTGAATGATTTGGATTAAAATGAATGTATACATAACTCCCATTGAATGTTGAATAAGAAAAGACAGAATTTTGGCACATTCACAAAAGTAGGGGGGAGATTTGTTCATGTTTTTAATCAGAATTATAGATTTTGTTTTCTTCCTGACTAATAATAGAAAAACTAAATTGTCCATCAAGTTTTGTTTTTTTCTTCTTCAAAATCTAAATTAAGAAGTAAAGGCGACTTCAGGTTATTTGATCTCTAAACAATTAGCATCTTACTTTCTGTTTAAAATTATCATACAGTTCTTGTCATATGGGTATTTGTATTTTCATCGTCAACAACATTATAACATATTGTTCAACTTTTGTATTTTCACATTATGCAAATTACTTTCATATAAATATACTCTGAATCGGCTCTGAATTCAAGCTATATGCTGTTATTGACGGTGAATCTTTATGTTCTTTCACTTTAGGCCTATGCAAGCATTATTTATAGAGTGAAGTATAGTAACCAGTCTAAGCTGACATACTTTTTTGTTATTTGTCATAATACATGTATTTTACAAATTTAATAGGTCATGTCCATATAAACTATGTAAATGTACTTGAAGATGTGGTTGGGGTTTCCTTATTTTATTACGGATATTATGTGCTTTGTATGTTTTTGTATGTTTTTTCCGTGTACTAGTATCTAATTGTTATTATATTTTCGGTATGGTATTGTAATTTTTGTTAACATTGTAATGTTAATCTATGGATTTTTGTATTTGGTTGTTCTATTTGAAGGTTTTTAATTTGTTACTATTTGATCAATGACCATGATAAAATTGATTTGACCATGATGAAAAACAGCTTTGCTAATCAGGTTTTTACCCTGGATAAATATGTTTCAATAAATAAACTCAATAAGTAAATAAATAAAGATGTAATTGAGTCTTTTATTAATCTTCTTCCTCCATGGTCTTACAATCATATCTTCTTCCCATCTTAATCTATATCACCTTTCACTTCCTTCATTCTTTTTTTATCCACTAACCCTGTAACCTACGCCTTCTTCAAATCGGTTGTGCTTTAAATGCAGGTAAATCCAATAGAATGCTTACAATGGGGCCGAATAGTTAAGGTATTCTCTACGTTTTTAATCTTAATCCCCACTTGTTCATTTTTCTTGTTTTTAACTTGTTACTCTCTGTCGGGAGGAGGGTACAAATTTGAAATCAATTTGAAATTTAGTGTGCTGAAATTTGAAAATCGTGCCGGCCAATATTTAGCTCGGGGGGGGGGGGGGGGGTGGGGGAGGGGTGGGGGGGGGGGGGTAGTGAGCAATAATTTCTTTCCCCGAAAAATTGAAAAATCGCACCCCCCCCCTTGAGCGCCAGGGGGGGGGGGGGCATCTCCAACAAAAGGTCAAATTAACGCGTTTTTAAATTAAGGCCTTTTAGGCATTTAATTACGGTCAGCTGAGCAGTCAGGAGTCCGCCTTAGGGCCTTTGGGAGCTTAAGAGTTTTAGGCTTATATATTTACGGTCAGATCACTCAGATGAGCATAATTATTTTTGATACCTTATTTGTGACACTGGCAGGTCACTAATTGGAGTGGGTCCAGGGGGTGGAGCCCCCAGTAACTCAGGGGGTTTAGGCATTACATAACGATCAGATGAGCATCCAGGGGCCCGTCGTAGGGAACTTGGTGGGGCAGAGCAGAGAAGAGCCCCCCGTAAGCTCAGGGGTTTTAGGCATTTAATTACCGTCAGATGAGCATCTAGGGGCCGCCTAATGGCTCGGTTGGGGTCCAGGGTGCGGAGCCATTTCAGCAACATTTGTAAGTCACTGGTATCGAAGTATAAATAAATCTTATTTGGGGTCAAATGCCCCACACCCCCACCCCCAACCCCTACTCTCCCACCCCCGAGATCATGCAAAATATGTCAATGTTAATTTTGTTATGTGTCATTATTATTATTATTATTATTTTATTTGGCAGAAAACACATGATATCAAAATACAGAGTTGAAAATAAACAATTAATAGCAAATCACACACAAAAAAGGAACACTGGGTGCACCCGGCTGTGCTGCCAGGCATTGGGCAAAGTTAACCAAATAACTATAGTCCGCAGACCGCCCTCACCTATATCCAACCAGATGCAACCAGCGTTGCAGATTTATGTGACAAAGACAATATAAGAGATACATGAATGTACCACAATTAAAATGCATCAAGACAAAAACTTCAAATTTCTCCAGGGCTGCATCACACGCCGGAGACTCATGACCACACCAGCAGAAAAAAGTGGCACAATATGATTATGAGGGGAAATTTTGTATCCGTAGTGTGATTCAACCCTAGAAAATCATATAGACCCATACATACATTAAACATAATACATGTATTAAAAAACATGCAAAATGTGACATTACAACAGAGATAATATTGCACAGATAAAGTAAATGCATATACGTGTAATTGTAGGATAATTGCACGAAAGTTGAAAGAACCAACTCAGTCGAGGTTAAAATTACATTCACGGCTCCAATGGTCAATCAGTGTTAAGACTTGCCCATACATTTCGTCAGATTTCTATTGAATTCGTCTCACCTGGCGGTCCGCAGCAGAATGTAACAATCAAATGCGTCATTGTGTAATCAATATCAAGAGAGTTTCGACAAAATTTGTCACATAGACAAGATTTTATAACGAACGAGTGACAAATTTGAATGTCGCTTCGACAAAATATACTGCAAAATGACGAAATGGTTTCATCCAATATTAGACGTTAAGGCAGCCGAACTTGATACGACTCTGAAGAAGTTGGATGCAAAAAGATGAAGTTGATTGGACAAAGTTCGAAAATGAATGACGAAATAAGAAATCGACTATGAGATGTGCAAGATTAGGAAGTTTCGGGACTAAATTGAATGAAAAAAGAATGAAATTGAATGCAGTTTTTTCTTAAAGCCCCACTGCACTTGTATTGCTACTTGCTCCTTCTATATAGAAAACAATGCCTAAGCGGTGCCCGTTGGTCCCCCAAGATAATAATATGATAATAACTTTTACTTATATAGCGCTTTTCATATGAGATTTATATCAAAGCGCTTCACAGTATTGATGAGAGTAAAACTAGACAGAGAAATGACAAGAGAACAAATTTAAAGTGAAATTACCAAACATAAGGTTACAGTTTAAAAACTAGGTTGAATATGCCTTTTCCATTAGATTGGTTTTAATTTTGATCCAAACAAAGTAATATCAGAGATGCAACGAATGGAGGCTGGAAGAGAATTCCACAAACGTGGAACAGAGCATGAAAAGGACCTATGACCAAAGTATTTTGTTTTTGCTTTTTGAACGGTCAAGAGAGTTTGATTTGCAGAACGAAGGGGCCTATTGGGTGTGTATAACTGAATCATTTCAGAAAGATAATTTAGGGCATGACCATGTAGAGACTTAAAAGTTAAAAGAAAAACTTTGAGCTGGACGCGAAATTTAATGGGGAGCCAATGCAATTGTTTAAGGTTTGGTGTAATATGGTCATATTTTTGGGTGAGAGAAACTATAGACGTCCTACAGAATTTTGGATTCTCTGCAGCTTGGCCGAATCTTGATCCTCTTTTCCTTATGTTAATTGAGAGCTGAGTTGGTGAGATAACCACCTGTTAGTGACCAGCAGGGTGATCTAATTTATTTTTTATTTTTTATTTTAAAATTAAATTATTATTATTTATGTCTTATCTGTCCGTCGCCATTGTCACTTTTGACCTTTCCAGTATTCACTAAACAAGTTTTCAAATTACGGATTTATAATTGTATAACTATTCTGCCACTTTTTGATAATCTATGTTTATATATTTTTTTAGTCAATATACATGCTACAAAAACAATGTTTGTCATTATTTTGAGGGATCCACATTTAACAAGCTCTGCTTTTCAGACGACCCCTCGATTTCCACAGGTTTATCTTTAAAAAACTTTTAAAAAACCATTATACTGGATTATTCTAAGTACAGCAAGTACAGCAAAAAGGAATTATTACAGATACAAGTTTCAAATAGCTAAAAGAAGCACGAAAAAGACATGGGACATAATTAATGATGTTCTTTGTAAATCTATACAAAAAACTTCTTTCATATTTATCATTCAATGGACAAGATATTTATGATCCTAAAACGATTTTTTAAACAAATTTTGTGTAAATATCGGGAATGAAATAAGTAAATCAATGCCCAACTTAAATAATGATTACACCAATTTCTTGCCTACACAATGTACAAATTCTTTATCCTTCAAGCCAGTTACAGAGAGTGAAATTATAGAAATTGTAATGAACTTAAAGGCTACAAATAGTTGTGGAATAGATAATATTAATCCTAAAATTCTAGAATTTTTTTTTTACAAGAGACCGTATGATTTCTTTTCTTCCCAGTCACCCTTTACCCCCTGTCAATATGGTTTTCTGAAACATTGCTCATCTGAAATGGCTTTAATCAATTTGCATGATTATGTCACTCGTTCTTTTAGTACAAAATTGTATACTTTTGGAGTTTTCTTGGAATTAACAAAGGCTTTCGACTCTATTGATTTTGCAATATTATTTGACAAATAAAAGTGCTATAGAATTAGGGGATTATCCTTATAGTGCGGAATGGTATGTAATCCCGTAGAATTTTTTTGCCAAAGTTGATTTTTGTTTGTTTGTTTGTTGTTGTTGCTGTTTTGGCTTCAAAAGGGTCCCAATTGGCCAAAAATGATGGGGTTCAAATTTTCAGACCCCTCCTTCACTTATATAAAGCGCAATAGGAAAATTTGGTGTCTCCGGGAAAATTTGAACCCCCATCAATTTCTGATAGCTTTGACCCCAATGAATCCAAAAATGCAAAATGCAAAATGCAAAATGCAAAATGCAAAAAAAAAAAAAATTGGCACAAAAGTCCTACGGGAGCTGTTTCAGTGACATACCGTACCACACTATTATCTTGGTTTGAGAGTTATTTCATGGCCGAAATCGACATGTTTTGTACCAAAATATGTTATCTGAACCATTAACATGCGGTATGTCCCAAGGCTCAATCCTCGGGCCCCCTGTTATTTCTATTATATATAAATGATCTTCCCAATTGCTCAAGTGAATTGAAGTTTAAATTGTTTGCCGACGATACCAACATTCTTTACTCAACAGATAATTATTCATCAATTAAGGATAATTTGAACAATAAATTGACCAACGTGTCATACTGGATTAATAGTAATAGACTGTCTTTGAATACTGAAAAGTCCAATTTAATATATTTTAACAATAGAAAATCACATATTCATTCCAACATTTCTGAACATTTAAAAATATCAATTAATGATAAAGTTAACCAAAGAGTCCACACAGTTAAATTTGTAGGCGTTTTATATTAATGAAAGTATGCCATTGACTCAGCAAATTTTGTATATTACTAATAAAGTGTCAAAGAGTGTTGGTATCGTTGGAAAACTCCGCACAGTTTTACCTCAAAGCATAATGATATTGTTATTACCGTATTTGACTTATTTAAATACTGTTTTGACAAATATCTACAAGCCAAAATTGAACTCTCTTTTTTGTTAAAAAAGAAATTGGTGAGAATTTGCTCTCTAACTTCTTATCGTGCCCATACTAGACCATTATTTATGAATCTCAAGTTTCTTGATGTGTATTAATTAAATAGATATTGCTTCTCAATGTTATTATTTTAATAAACACAATCAGGTTCTTTTGCTCAGTTCACTTTACAATATGCTTTTACTCAATAATGCAATTCATACTTATAATACGAGGAATAGAAATTAATATCATACATGGGTTGTTGAAAAATCTTATTTATTATTTTCTTTCCGACATAGAGCACCAACAATATGGAATACTTTGCCAGATAACATCTATAATGTATGTTGGCCCTGAAGACGAAATCGCGAATTATTCACGAAATTCACGATATCGTCGCGAATAATTGGCGTCCCTCCAGGGCCACCGTAATAATGAATTACAATGGATTGAAAAGAAGTATAATCATATGTGATTTCGAGTAGAATACTTTTCCACTTTATGTGTGTATTTGTGGGTTGTCTCGGCTGCCAAGGTGCAAAAGAATGAATCCATTCGTCGTTTTGCAATATATTGTGTCAAAAGCGTCATTCACATTCGTCAGTCGTCAATTTGAGGACTGTCTATAAGACGAATTTGAATAAAACTCTCTTGAAATTTGATTGTTAGATTTTGCAGCGGACTACCAGGTGCGACGAATTTCAATGAAATGTGACGAAAAAGATTGGGCAAGTGTTAAAATTAATTGGCCATTGAAACTGACAAATGACAAAAATAACTTCAATTTCAATTTCAATTTATTCATGATTCCAACAAAACATTACAAATCAATTTTAAGCATTTAAAACAAATGTAAGAAATACATGTTAGCAACAGAGGAGTCCACTAAAAAGCAATGCTTGTACAAGTGTGAACACCTCAAATGATACTTAGGAATAATGAGTAATTAAATTAACTAATCCGTAACTACAGAAGGAACTACAAAATAGGGGAAAGAAAAAGGGGGATGCCAGCCGAGACGAGAAAGGGACAAGACAATAATGCTTTACACGAAAAAGATGAAGAACACGGTACTACAAAGAGTAGACAATGACAAAAAAGTGAGAGATCGGGGTAAGAAGTTAGTGTAAAAACAAGAAAAATGAACGAGTGGGGATCAAGATTAAAACGTATAGGACACCTTTGCTATTAGACCCCATTGTAAGCATTTTACTGGATTTACTTGCATTTAAAGCACAACAGATTTGAAGAAGGCGTATAGGTCACAGGGTTAGTGGATAGAGAGAATGAAGAAAGTAAAAGATGATATAGATCAAGATGGGAAGAAGATATGATTGTAAGACAATAGAGGAAGAAGATTAATAAAAGACTCAATTACATCTTTATTTATTTACTTATTGATTTTATTTATTGAAACATATTTATACAGGGTAAAAACTTGATCAGCAAAACTGTTTTTCACATCATGGTTTTGATCAAATAGTAAAAAATCAAAAAACCTTCAAATAAAACAACCAAATACAAAAATCCATAGATGAACATTACAATCTTAAACAAAAATTACAACAGCATACAGAAAATATAATGACAATTAGATACTAGTACACGGAAAGAAACATACAAAAAATTACAAAGAACTTAGTATCCGTAATAAAATAAGGAAACCCCAGCCACATCTTATGGTACATGTACATAGTTCATATGGACATGACCTATCAAATTCGTAAAATACATGTATTATGAAAAATAACAAAAATGTATGTCACCTTAGACTAGTTACTATACTTCAATCTGGATAACTAAATAAACCTTGCATAGGCCTAAAGTGAAAGATTTAAACATAGATCGTCAAATAATAACAGTATAGCTTGGATTCAGAGTATATTAATATGAAAGTAAATTGCATAATGTAAAAATAAAAAAGTTGAACAATATGTTATAATGTTGTTGACGATGAGAATACAAGTACACATATGATAAGAACTGTATGATAATTTTGAACAAAAGTAAGATGCTAATTTTAGAGAAAACACATAACCTAATAAAGTCACCTTTACCTCTTAATTTAGATTTTGAAGAAGAAAAAAACAACACTTGATGGACAATTTAGTTTTTCTATTATAAGTCAGGAAGAAAACAAAATCTATAATTCTGATTAAAAACATTAAAAGGCTACCCCTACGTTTGTGAATGTGCTAAAATTCGGTCTATTCTTATTCAACATTCAAAGGGAGTTATGTATAAATTAATTTCAATTCTAATTTGAATTATCATATTTGTTTATATAGCAGGTATATAATAAAAAAAAACACAGTTAAAATAGATATCATTAAGAGTTTCAATTCACTTTACCGGTTTCAATTTTTCTCGTCAGATTGATATACAGCGGTTTAGCCTTTGCTCATTATCACGAGCACTTTTAATATTACCACAAATTAATAGTTTTTACATTACAAATCTTTATTTAAACATTTGCCTGGCGCTCAGGATATATGTGTGCTTTTTCGCCGCAATGCCTTGGTGCAAAGTTTTCGACAGAAACAAAGATCGAGGCGACAAATCGTGTGTCTGACACTGGTCTGAAAGTGTTTAAAGCTACCAGTTTCGTGTCATCCCGCTCGACAAAAAAGAAAAAAACATTTTACACCTTATTATATATATTTCCCAAAATGCATGGTTGACAAAGTAATCTAAAAATTATTCGCTATGTGTTGAACAATGACCGCGTGGTTCTGATGATGGGCCTGGTTGTTGAGTCAAGCTACATGCAGCATCAGAACGAGGTTGGTGAGTCAAGCTGCATGGGGCTTAAGAACAAGGCGGATAACTTAGCATGAAGTAAATCTTCTTTCCGATGCCTTGCTTGGATATATCTGGGGTTTGCAACGTCATTGTCTCATTTCCTTCGTCGTCGGTTACAGAACCCGTCAAGCCGGTAACACGTCTTGTTACCTGTTATGGTCAAGTTTATATATTTAAAAAGAAAGTAGTAAGCATGATAAGAAAGTCTATTATCATATTCCGGTTGTCCCTGATTTGAAGTAAAATCAGCATAATAATAGATTTATATTCCACATACTAAGAATCTTGCTCTACAATTAGTCAAAGTAAATCACGTGATGAAAGATAGTTAGCCCATCATTGATGGGAGAAGAAAAGTTCGTTGCACTTTGTAGATAGTACTACTAGCTACACAGTGCAACGCACTTTCACTGAAGATAGTAGGAATATCAACACAGTGCAACGCACTTTCTTGTATACTTTGCGTATACATACGTACGTAAGCACTGAATGCACTGTACGTATCGTACACCGTTTGGTAGCTGTTAATTGAAGACTTTGTTGCTCTAAAATGACGGAAGAAGTAAAATGTTTCCGATGTGGAATATAAATCAAATAATCACCTTTGGGTTTCAGGCGATGGCAAACTATCACTTCCTCGGCGATCTGAATATACGCTATCTTTCCGAAGCGAAGCTGAGGAAAGATAGCATCCAGATCGTCTCAGAAGTAGTTTGTTCCATCACCTTCACCAACAGTAATTATTTGATAGTTGAGTTTTTGTTTCAGACCACAAATGCCTTCAAAGTGCATGGTTATATTGCTCTTATTTATGAAATTTCTAGTGCTCTTTTAGGACCTAAAATTGCTATAAAAAATGTGTGAAATTTAGCCAATACGATCATACCAATTCACCTCCACTTTCCAAAAAATATTGTGACTGTTAATTGATTAATTAATTGATATTAACAATACATGGTCCGGCTTGTTGTGCGTAATATAACCAACACGAAAATGCCAACAAAAAAGCCAACATTGGCATTGGCTGAAAAACGGCGTAAAAAGGAGCTATTTCGTTTTTTCAACGGTTTTTTCAAAATATCTAATATTGGTGGTGGTACACAAGTATTATAAACCGTTATATTTATGGATATTTCAGCCGTCTCTGAACCGATTTTGATCAGACAAAGATGATTTTTTCATATGAATTGTATGTTCTTTCAAAAAACAGAACTCAACTATCCCTTCAAGCGCGAAGCGCAAAAGTGCAAAAAAAAAGAAGTAGAGAGTGGGAGAGAGAGATAATGAGAGACAGAGAGGATAATAAGCCAGGTAGCAAGCCCATGTGGGACCCACATGGGTCTCATATTCTCTGAAACATGGGACCCATATGGGTAAACCAGATGGGACCCATACTTATGTGGGGTTGATGATGCGTTTTTTTTCATAATGCAAGTAAAGTAATACAATATTGTATCATTGAAAAGAAAGACGGTTTTGTCCAAATGGCAACTTTCAGTTTGTTCCCTGATTCATACTCTATTTTGTTTTATTAATTTCATCCATTTCTTTGTTTATTTATATCTCTACATGTAAAACATTTGGAGAGCTAATTTCCGAAAGGAGCAAAATCTTTGATAGCAAATGGAGACAATGATATACATTCTCCTCTATTTACCTTGAACAAAATTATTAACCTAAATTACGAGAGAAATTATGAACACATGCATCTTTTGAAAGGGACTTGGTAACATTGTTCAGATGAGAGATAGTGGTGCTAAAGAAGTGACTTCAATGCTATATGTAGATGTACAATTAAAGATAATCTGAAAAATTGAGTGTAAACGGACCATTATTCATGGTACAAAGTGGGAAAAACTAATCTGATCGATTCCTTAATTCTCCCAACTATATTTTTTACAATTTACTTACATTTTAGGTGAATGTAAATCGTCACAAAGCATTAAAATGGCTCTACATTCCATTCCAGACATTTAAATGTTGACAGATTATTTATAGCCTGTTTTATGTCTTTTTTCATGGAAAAACGGTTGGGAAAATTCAAAAATGGTTGGGAGAATTTACTGTTAATCACTGTTAGAGGGTGTCATACATTGACGCCTTCAAAGAAAACCATAGATATCTTCGTGGTTTGAGAATTTTTTCAGGATTTTGTGCATGTCAGAGGATTAGTACAGTAAAAGGATTATAGTAAGTAACATTTTTTACAAAAATTAAGCAATTTTTCCATCAATCTTCAACAATGTTACCGAGTCACTTTTATAACAATTTTCTATAGACATCTGTGAACAAAATCGGGTAAACAAAGAGTTCTTTCTTAAGTTATACACATGGATCTAGTGCCTCTTGAAAATAAGCTCTTTGTATGTACATAATCAAGCAATACAACTCCAGTTCGATATTTTGGGGAAAGATTATTATGTCACAACTTATGTTTGTTTTATTGAAAAGCTGATGTAGGCCTATGTACATAGGCGACGGAATTGGTCCCCTGGATGGTCATCTGACCGTAATTAAAACCCCATAGCTTCCGGGGGCTCTGCTCCTGGACCCCACCAAGGGCCCGAGGGCGGTCCCCTGGATGCTCATATGACCGTAATTAAATACCTAAAACCCAACAGCTTCCGAGTGCTTTGTCCCCTGGACCCCGCTAAGGGCCCTAAGGCGGGCCCCCTAGATGCTCATCTGACCGTAATTAAATATCTAAAACCCCGGAGCTTCCGGGGGCTCTGCCCCTGGACCACATCAATGGCCTTAAAGAAGGCCCCTGGATGCTCATATAACCGTAATTAAATACCTAAAACCCCTGAGCTTGCTCCCTGGCCTCTCCGCCAATTAGTGACCTGCTCGTGTCACAAATAAGGTATCTAAATATACTTATCTGGCCGTAATTTAATGCTTAAATATCCTGAGCTTCCGGGGGCTCAGCCCCTTGACCCCTGCTAAGGCTCAGGCCCTGGACCCCACGCCAATTTACGCTCTACCTGATCGTTAATACTCCACTTTGAAAAATGTTCCGCGGTGTCTGCATTTAACGTGTAAGAATGGTGGTGATGCAGATTTTTCTTCTGCCCCCCCTCACTTCCAAAAGTTTTTGCTCATTACGTCACTGCCCCTGGAAGGTGAGCCCCTGGAATGTTTGCCCACCCCCCCCCCCCCATCCCAAACTGCTTCCGGCGCGCCTGCCTATATATTGTAACAGTAGGTATAGCACACCAAAAATAAGTAGAACAAACACATGTTATCTGATGATTGCAAATGATCAAGCTTTATGAAAGCTTCAAAAAACAAAAAACAGAATTGAAATCGGTCAATGCGTTGTGATTTTATACCATTTATTTGATATCGCAAAATTACCGAAAAAATCTGCCAGAAATGGTCAAATTGGCAAAAAATTTCTTGGACACAAATAATAAATCAAAATATCAGACATTAAAATATCATCTTTGTGGTAAAAAATACAAAAAAGAAAATTCATATAACTATTACCGTTTTGAAAACAGAAGCCAACAAAATAAGTCATTTTTGCCATTTTGCGAATCTGCAGATATGAAAAAGTTGTGAAAATAACTAAGTCCGCCTAATTAATATGCGCATATGTAATCAAATCAAAACCGAACCTGATACATCAGTGAAACCTAAGTATATCAGACATGTTTGGAAATATATTTCATTTGAAATATTAAAACAAATCATGAATATTCATCAAATATGCAAATTAGGTCATTTCAGCTAATTATATATTCGCGCACTCATTATGCAAATTAGGAAAGTCAAACTGTTCATTTTTTTGGCATTTTTAAAATCATGTATTCATAGATCATATTTACACCAAATATTAACCTTAAATTCCAAATATTTTTGCAATGCCGATACAATATGGTGATGGAAATTATTTGGATCATCGTCACAGCTATTTACTCATGTGTTTCACAGAATATTCAGAAAAACAGATCATGTAATAAGAATTTGCAGACTTTCAGCTACATCCTAGTATATTTGCATATTAAAAAGATGTCAGATTTGAGGATTTATGACGATTTTCCGAGAAACCATTCAACAGGCCATAACTTTCCACAGGGATTGAATGTTAGAGTAACAAAAATTTTGTGACCCCAATACAGTTGTGGTTACCTTGAGTGGAAACAACAATTTGATTCAATGAGTGACACACATGAGGATATTGCATTTTTTATAGGGAAGTTTTATACATTCAGGTGCATTTTCACCACGCAGAATAACAATGCGAGTCAATGGGCGATCAGCGGGCAATGTCACACATGGCTGAAAAGATTATTATAATTAAATAATTTAACATATTTCCCACATGCCTATAACAATGAAACTACACAGAATTGTAGTTAAAGGTATGCTTGAAATATATGTGAAATAATTAAAAAAAAATATCGTTTAGTTTTTTAAAAATAAATTTACAAAAATTGCTATTTCTACCAACTGACTGCTGTTGTGTGTGTGTGTGAGTGTGCATGGGGCAGACTGTGTGCACAGGCATTGTGATCACCCTAGTAACAGGAATAAGATAGTTAAGGTGTTTTTGAAGGTTACAATGTTATTAAGTTTGAAGTTTGTTTATAACTACCTTCCAATAATAATGCACCTTCTAAGACTGGTTATAGTTTTTGAAGAAAAAGATAGTGCTCTGGTCAGGGCCTTTGGGGAATATTATGCTTATATTTTTAGAGCGTATCTGGTTTATAAATATATCTGGGTGAAGAAGGAGATAATGGAAGTTTGTTGTTTGGTTGTTGGAACGTAAGTTTTATATCATGTTTTTAAGAAACAGACAGTTCGTATAAGATCAGGAGTGGACATTTTCTGTCATTTTGAGAACCAAATTTTGCATCAGTGATATTTTGTTTTATTGAATTGAGATTCCCGCAGAGAGGATTCAGTTGGTTTAATTAAAGAAGGAAGAGAGTCAAATGAAGAACCAAGGGCAATTAATATGTTTTTCATTTACTAATGAGAACTATGTTTTGGGGGGATCTCCTTACACAGCATATTGGAATGGGTTTGTCACGATAAATGTTGTTTGGAGACATCAATATTCATAAAATGTATGTTTCTATCAACAGGATATAATTTTTTTTTCTGTCTACATGAAATTGTCCTGGTCGCTTATTAATGCATTTGCCCACTGGTGACATAATACTTTCACAAGTTGATATCCCTCACCATTGGATTTGCTTTTGGTAATGTCTAAATTTCGTTTAAAAATAGATGATATCAGTCTGGTAGGCCTACACTGCAGGCAAGAGTCATGACTAACATGTAGCGTGTTATTAATTTTATTACAACTCTTATATTCTCTGAAATGTTATCTGTATTGAGGGTGACTTGGAAAAGTTAATAACTTGGAAGTGAGGGTGCAACCTGCCACACGCTTCTAACTCTTGGTTGCTTTGATCCATTGCCGAAAATATTTTGGCACCTATATCATCTTCCCCCAACCACGGATACAAATCGACACCCACGCCTCCAAGCAAAATTTGAAAGAAATCCGTCAAGAAATGTTGCAGTCAGAGCGCATAAAAGATATATGATCGTTGAACCTATAAAGGATGGAACAATGAGGGCAGCATCACCCACAAGTAAAGATGTGGAGATTGTACTAAGATAACAAATGTGAAAGAAATCCGTCATGAAATATGACCTACAGAGCGCACACTAGATACCCACCAAAATATGACATTCGACCCTATAACGGACGAACACAGGTGGCAGCATCACCAAACACTAAAGATGCGTAGATTTTTACCAAGATACACCTCCATACTAAATTTAAAAGAATCCGTCAAGAATTGCGGCAGTAAGAGCGCACAAAGGAGACAAATGACCTTTGACCCTATAAAGGATGGAACATGAAAAGAGGCACTTATGAGAATGAAAAAAGGGGCACTAATGATAAAGGGAAATGTGCATTTGTTGAAAGAAAAAGGCCACTGATCAGATTTTAATAGGAGCATTTATCGGAGGTAAAAGGGGGTTTTCATGAGAAGGGAGGGAGGGGGGGGGATCGGCTCTTATTAAAAAGAAAACAAGTCACATGTTAAAATAAACGGGGCACTTATCAAAGATGAAAAGGGGGGTAATTATGAAAAAGGGAAGGGCACTTATAAGAAGGAAAATAAGCATTAGGAAGGAAAAGGGGGACGTTTCAAAGTAAAACGTGTATGTCTCAGAACCGAATAGGGTCATTTACAAGAGATGAAAAGGGGCACTTATGAGAATGAAAAGGAACTATTTTCATAGATGAAAAGGGGCAATTATGAGAAAGGGACTATTTTTAAAATGGGGGCCCTTATCATAAGGAAAAGGGGCACTTATTCAAAAGGAAAGGGAGCAAATGTGAAAAAAATAAGGTGCGCTTATCCTAGTTAAAAAGGGGTAGTTATTAAAAGGTGTAAGTGTATTTGAGTTAGCTTACCAAAAGGTTAGAGCGCCATCTTGGGCGACAGACTTTAAAAGACAGAGTTTCAAAGACAAACATGAAAGATCTAATGTTTGAGACAAATTGATGAATATCTGCAACATCTTCATAGCTGCAGTTAACTTATGTACTAAAATGAGACAAGAAGGTCAGTACTTAGACTTGCAGTGTTAATTTATGGGAAATAAATTGTATAATTATGATATTTATGCCCAAACGAATTTATGTTATATTAAATGATAGATGTGTGAAGACTGTTCAGGAAACACACAGAATGCCCATGGGTCACGCCCAAATTTGTTATTATTATTGCATCTTTGAATTAATGCCCATTTTTTGTTGTCGTTTGTTTCTCACAGTTATCACAAGAATAAAAGAAACACAGGGAGATTTTTGAAGGAATGAGGAAATTTGTTTATGAAAATGAGGTGTTTATTAATTTGTGACAAACGTATTAAAAGCCTGGAATCGTTTCCAGAAAACAAGAAGCCAACAAGACAGAGAGATAAGTTCAAGAATATTAAGAGCGAGGTCACCAGAATAGTTACTGATGCAAGAAATGTTTTGAAAAGAAACTAACTTCAGATCTGAAAACGAATCCAAAATGTTTTTGGAAGTATGTGAAAAGTAAAACAAAGACAAAATCTTCAATCGGGTCACTGCCACTGGAGAAACCCGATTGCGGCTATGCAGAAACAGACACTGAGAAAAGCTAATACCTTAAACAATTTTTTTTGGTCTCTGTATTAACGAGAGAAGATTTAGCCAATATTCCTAGCTGTGATCCGAGAAGAAATGTTAAAACCCTGGACAATGTTGAAGCAATCAAGAAGCTCAATCAGACCAAATCCCCTGGACCTGATAATGTATATAACCGTATTCTGAAGGAACTTGTGGATTATATTTCCAAACCTCTCACTGAATCGTTCAATTTTTGTCGATGTCGAAAGGTCAAGTCCCTGCACGTTGGAAGGAAGCCTATGTTACACCTATATACAACAAGGGTGATAAGAGGAAACGAAAGTTATTACCGTCCTTTGAGCTTAACCAGTACTTTGTGCAAGATGATGGAATCTTTCATCAGAGATGTGATAGTTGACCATATGGATAGGCATGAACTGTACACAGATAATCAATATGGCTTTAGGAAAGGCAGATCTTGCATCACACAACTACTCGATTGTATCTGAAGCTTGGTACAAGGAGCTTGACAGTGGAAGAAGTATTGATTGTATATATCTTGACTACATTAAAGCATTTGACACTGGCCTACATCAAAGATTGCTACAGAAAATTAAGTCGTACGGTATCTCAGGTAATCTGTTGAACTGGATCCAGTCCTTTTTAAGTGGAAGATCTCAACAAGTGAGGGTTAACAGAATTACATCTACGGAATCCAACTTTATGAGTGGCGTACCGCAGGCGAGTGTGCTAGGGCCCACCCTCTTCCTAATCTACGTGAATGACCTGCCTGAAGTTATTCAGTCTAATTAATGTAAGTTAAGCTCTTTGCAGATGATACCAAGCTGTACTCGTCAATTGCTAACATCGACGACAGAAAGACCCTTCAATCCGAACTAAACAACCTTCTTGTATGGTCTAGAACATGGCAACTCCCTTTCAACATTGAGAAATACAAAGTCATCCACTATGGAAGAAGTAATCCCCTGTGTGACTACACTATGAATGATGTGAATGAGCCATTACCTGCAGTTCAACATGAACAAGATCTGGGATAAATATTTGATGATGAATGTCCTTTTCAAATCACATTGACACTGCTTGCAATGCTGCAAACCGGAAATTAGGAGTCAAGCGTACTTTTTCAACTATGAACAACAAGGGACTCGCACAGTTATATAAGTCAATTGTGAGACCAGCACTAGAATACTGATCTCCCGTGTGGCACCCTTATAAGAAGAAACATATTCTCAAACTGGAAAAAGTTCAACGTTGTGCAACTAAACTCCTTCAATCTCTCAGAAGTCTTCAATACAAGTTACGGCTAGAGCAACTACATTTGCCTTCATTATCACACAGACGTCATAAAAGCGACAGTACTTGTCATTGAAGAAGGAAATGTTTAATCCTGATGAATTATTCAACTGTCCATGTTCATCCGTAACTGCACAACGCCAAATTCAAGAGTAACCCACTAGCGGACACCGAGGGGCAAATAAGTTTAGTATAGCTTTATGCCTACTTTCAAGGTATGATATCCGAGGTATGAAACACTCCCGTAAAAAACATTGTCAACATGTTGTTTTTGAATGGCTGCAGTTACAAACATGGAAGGGGCACTTTTTACATAGGAAAAGGGGAACTTGTCAAAGCAAAAAGGGAACCTCTCAGATTTGATTAGGGCAGTTATCAGAGATGAAGGGCCGCTTTTGAATGGCTGCAGTTACAAAAATGGAAGGGGCACTTTTTACAAAGGAAAAGGGGAACGTACTAGAGATTAAAAAAAGGCACTTATTAGAATGGAAAATGGACACTTATTTCAAAGGAAAATGGGAACTTTTCAAAGAAAAAGGGGTAAGTGTCAAAATAAAAGGGGCCCATATCAGAGGTGAAAGGGGGAAAGGACACTTTTACAAATTAATAGGGGCACTTGTCAAAGTAAAAAGGGCATTTTTCCTATGTAAAAAGGGGCACTTTTTGGGTTCCTAAAAAAAGTGTAGGGGGGGGGGGGACACTGTGCCTCCCTACTCCTCGTGAGCGCCGCCTCTGATTTAAGGAAAGATATTGTTGATAATCACCCTGTTCATCATGGTGTCAAGATCGTCAATGTGTACGTGGGCAATCAACTCCTCACATAAGCTCTGTATGAACCAGGAACCATCCACGTCATGTCGGATTGAGAAATAACCTGCCAAAATTAATTAGGTGATTAAATGTAACTTAAGCCGACCAAACATTTAAACTTCTAAAATGTTAAAGATTGATTATTTGAATACTCAAATGATCAATAAAATTGAAATGTTAATGGACTTAATATCTCCCTTGGAGGAAGAAAAACCCACCCCCCTCCAAATATGTTTAGAGTGAGGATAATAACTTTTAGATATGTTCTTGCATGATACAGTATCATGAATTAGCTGACATCCGTTTTTAGATTGCACAGTTTTTAATTCACCTTCGGAAGTGGCGTAGGCCACATATATATCAGCGTTATCTGGAACATCGCCATCAATATCCAATGCGTCGTCGGTCGGTCTCTTTGATGAACAAGAATCGATGTCACCCATCAGTCTTTTAGGATCATCAGTGCCAAGAGCGCTCTTCGTGGGCATGTCTAGAATCGGGTGTGAAATGAAGAGGGCATATTTTTGCATTCTAAACGTAAAAGTAATTCAACGAAGAGTGGAGATAGGCTTAATATCCCCCACCACCACAGTGGGAACGATGAAATATCTTGCATTTTCCACGATATTATGAATACTTTGTCAAACGGAATTTAACAGACTTCACTATTACCCTTGAATATATAAACCTTTACAATTTTAAATTTATAATCAAAAAATTAAAATTCGAAATGAAGTCTCATCCCTTGCAAATGAATGAAGTTTATATATACTGAACATAATGTAAGGGAATTATGGGGGACTGGTTAATGTTTTTTTAAAAACAATTCTAATCAACTGGAAGACACCTAACCTGTTAAAATCCCAGTCAAAAATTAATGACGGTCTCGCGGACCCTATAAGAATAGTTTTCAAAGGACCAACGAGACCGACGTTCCTGTGGTCTGCCTCGAGAATCCGTAAAATAACGTTATAGAAGATCGACTCGCTAGACCAATACTGTATGTCTCCTGGGCCGCATGAGACTCTCAGATAACTTTATCGAAGGCTCGCGAGACTGACAATGTAGGGCTCGTGGCCTGTCTGTTTCGTAAAACCCTCACATGACTTTTAAAGAGGGCTGTACGTAGCCTCATGTTTAATTGCATTTATCAGTTAACATTACTTACTTAAATTATCATGTGTTAACCGTTTAAATCAAACCTAAACCTTTGACTCACTTCCTCGACATGCCTGGATAAAGAAGATCTTTGGTTTTCCGAGGAGTGCTGGGCATTTTCTTCCAGAAAACTTAGACTTGATTTCCTGAATTGTCACAACGTCCAAGTCGGTACCACTGATGCCATGTTTGTTACCATGACTCATCAGAACAAGAATCACAGATGAGTGACGGGTGGATCCTTCTAGATTTATTCGGCTTACAGACTCGTCCAGAAAGCTACGAATCTCCTGCACGGGGAATTGATGATGTGACATATTGATCGAGTGGAAGACGAGGTCAATTTGATTTCAGTTAGGGCTTGCCGAAAGATGAGCCATTCAGTAGATATGGTAATCATTTTCTATTCCTCTTTGGAGCAGGATAGGGAACCGTACGGTTACTATACCCTTCTGCCACGCCGCACGATAGTCTGCTGAAACTTTGGGGGCGATTTCAGCTGCATGAAAGATTCCGGATGTTGATAGGGGCCAATACGTAACGGGCTCATAATATTGATCGCAATTGTTGCAGTGCACACAAAGTCAATAGCAAAACCCGGAAGATTGAAAATATTAGGAATTATTACACATACGAGCCTCTTTTCCAAGAGAATAAAATCATGTATTTGATTCCCTTTCTTTGGTCGAGATCATTATTGTGAGCATATGGCTTTTCCTCGTAACATTGACTAACTCGATCAACCGATGAACAATCAGCGTTCAATAGGGGGATTCACACGTAGAGATTCACACGTTTTTTGGCGTGTGAATGCGGAAAAGCTCACGTCTAGTGATTTTAAAGATAAACTTTAGTACTGGTAATGCGATTGCATTGTGAAAGAATAGGTGTGGAAAGGATCAGAAACAGTTGATCATGTAGCATGTAAGTATTGGTGTGCACTGCAAGGTTCTGGAGTCCTCAAAATCATAATAAATTTGACCGAGTCTTGGTAAAGTAACAAGCACTCACATAGAAAGCTATATATGGGACAACACACATGGTGTCGGGGCTAGTACTACCTTGATTTCCTTGTCTTTCTATGCTCATTACTCAGCCAGTATACATTTTCTTCCAAAATTGTTTGGCACATGTCATTTATTTGTAATCTTGAACATTCAGTGTAAGTTTCGTTTGATTCTGTGAGAATTTTTTTTTTTTTTTACCAGTACTGGAGTTTATCTTTAAGAACGCGTTTAGTAATCACTAGGAAGTGCACTTTTTTCGGAATTTACATCTGGGCGCGGTTCGTGTAAATGGTGTATGGTGAAGTGATTTTTTTCTTTTACCGTATTCGTGAACAAAGGCAAAAAAAAAGAAGAAGATTTTTGGAAAGCTCACCAAAAATCAATAATTGTTACGTGTGAATACCCAGCCTATTATCGCATGTTGAGCATGATTTCCTAAGCTGCACAAAATTATATAAGGGCGCATTTAATATGACACAGTTATTGCGCATAACGTTTGATTGACGATGTGATGTCACATTGCTTATCAGTTAGGATTTTGCTGAGATAATGATCTGAATACGAATTCAAACGTATAAATTAGCAAAGTAAAATTCTGAAAAAAATAGTTAATCCGCGTACTGAATTGAATACGACCACAGTATATCGTGTAAACAATCCGTAGCTAGTATTGTGTTTAAACACCAATTTATATTCAAAACTTAAATCATCTTTCATTTTGATTTGCCAAATTTGATGAAAAATAATAATAATAATATTAGATTTCTATCATAAAATATCAGATATATTGCATTCAGTTGGCATGAATATTACACTCGTCATCGACTCGTGCAATATATGTGATATACCTCCCCTCCAAGGTGAGCCAATATCATGTAAAATGTTGCCTGCTCGAAACTAATAAAATTACCTGGTATAGGTAATAATATACAAATAATGAATGCTTCTGAGTGCAATAGATCTTAAGGGGCTGAACTGACCTATGCGACCTTTGACCTATTTACCAAAAATCTTATCAGATCATCTTCCTATGCTAATACAAATTATCGCTTTTTAGACCCCCATATCTATTGGTTCTAGAGGTTTCGCGATTATAGCTGGAATTTTAGAAGTTGACCTCTGTGACCTTTGACCCTTGACCTACTAACCTCAAATCTATTCAGATTGTCTTCCTATGGTGAATCATATTCTCAACAAGTTTGAAGTTTATATTTTTAAGGTACTATATCCCATTTGCAAGCCAAAAAAAAAGGTTAAAGTCAAACGGAATTTGAAAGACTAAATTAAAACTTCCCTCAAAACGAATGGGCTTGAATTGTTTTTTTTTGTTGGAAAATAACGACCGTTACTTGTCGATTCGACTTAGGTGAATGCAATCACCTAAATATTAATAGTCTGATATTCAGACCTTTTTACCGAATAGTCGTACGTTTTAAGCTGCGCAAAGATTCAATCAGTTAAATTTTGGCCATTAAAAAAAGCGGGTTATTGATGTAGAAAAATGCTCACGTAACTTTTAAAGCTCATGTTATGTACATATTATTACAAAATAAAAAAACAAATGTCAGTCAGTCACTCAAAAGTAATCAGATTTCCTTGCATAATTTGAATACTAGGACACGGCTAACGTTTAAATTTCACAGATTGGACATAACATGTACGTGACATATCCATAATTCCTGCAAAGTTCCACAAAATTTGATTTTGGCTGCAAATGGGACATAGCCTATACGTTTAAGTGGCAATTGAGATATCGTGTTAACGAGAAAGCGGGACGGACGGGCGGACAGCCCGAAAGCATGTCATAATGCCTTTGGCATCACCTTCGAAGGGCGGAGGCATAACGAAATTAAGTTCTCGAAAATTGATGACAAAGTAAAAAAAGAAAAAAGGTTATCACATTTTCCAAAGGATTATGTGTCTAAAACATTTGACGTAAAAAAGGCCTCAAGGTTGGCAATTATCTAATGACTGGAGCACCAATCAATCCTATGTTACATACATGTATATCCTCTTTGCTTATGTTGATCCTTAACTTAATTTGTGAAAGGGCTAGTTTGAATTGCAAAATGGTTAACGGAGTACAGAATATTAAATTGAAAAAGCCATCAGGCCTTTGCAGGACATCAACTTAATTGATAAAGAAGACTTAAAACCACACTGTTGTTTCAAGGCGATATACATCATTGACCAGGGAGATAATTATTTATCTCGATCTATAGGTGAAATATAACGTTCATGTTAATCACGGATTCATAAATGAGAAATTTAACTTCTAAAAGATTTGTTGAAAACATCCACAGAACGGTGTAGTACATATTGAAGCTTTTTCCAGAAAAGAAACTGATAATTTCTTATGTTAATCAGAGTTCTACATAATATTGAAAGTTATTGCAGCAACCTTTAATCTGTTCTTCAAAGTTTGAGACATAAAGTCGTGATTTTCTCTGCATAACGACGTTGACCTACCTCGGCAGACAAATTTGTCTTAATGACAGGTTTATAGCCGATTTGTTTGAAGACATGTTCGATATTGCGCAAGTCCTGCTCTGATCCAGGACGATCTTTTGCCTCCGGGAAATGATTATTGTTTAGTATGAGTACGAGCCCCTTGGAGTCAGATGTATGCAACGCGTAATTCTAACGGGAACAAAACAAGAACAAAATTATTATTATATAGCAAATTGCTCTGAAAGAATGCATTAGAGAACCAGAATTTTTGAAAAAAATGTAACTAACAATAAAAAAGTTATGAAATTTTGAAAGTATTAATCACTTATAAGGGAGTTTTAAATTGTCCGAATCGGAAATGTCAGTGATATGTAATAGCGGACAACTCTCCCATTTGTACAAACACAAATAATAATCTAAAAATGTATGTTAATATATTATGACTCGGGGTGGGTCTTTTCTTTTTAGAAGACCTATGATAACATGCTTTACATAATAGTTTTCACGGATCAACCCCAAAGGAGAAGGCACTTTGGAGAAAAAGAAAAATTAATGACCAAAAAAGAGAAAGTAGACGAAGACCCCCTAAAGCGTATATTTACTTCTTCGGGGTCAAATTGTTCCTTCCTTGGCTCTGCCTTTTGTATGTTCCAATCCGTGTACAAGCCGTGTACGTTGGGGATAACGTTAATTCGTTGCTCTGATGAACATGGAAATAAAATAAAAATATATATTTTAAAAATGAATAAATATTTATTCATTATTTATAGGTGTAAAATAAATTTTCGCGTCTTTTCGGCATTACTTTAATTTGAAAAATGGTCAGAAAAATTCACAACCCTAATAACATGTTATCACATAACAAACAACACAAAGTCGCCCCATGAAACGCGGTTTATAACAATATATTTATATATATATATATATATATATATATACATACATATATATATCAGAATATATATACAGTGCGTCCCAGAAATAACGAAACCGAGAATTATCGATGTTTTATCATAACAAAGGTAATACAAAGTTTTGGTATGGGGTCATGAATTTGGTTCAAATGAACACATTGGAAGCATATGCAGTCCTACAATATTCAGTGATCGTTGTCGCGGTTGAAATCGGGTCTAAAGTTATGATATTTTAAATAATAAACTCTTTATGCTGTATAGCTCCCTCTGAAGGTCAATATATCAATTCAGCCATAAAAACAATATTGCTTGACTAAAATCGATAAATTGGCTATTTCCGTTTGGAAATTATATATCACAACTACATATTTTGAGGATTTCATGGTCGCAGCTACAATTTTATGGTTGTAAGCGCTATTTAAAATTCATCAAAATTTACCGGGAGCACCGGTTACTGTTGATATTCAATTTTACTCGAAAGCAGAAGTGTTTTAGGAGTTAAATTTTCTAGTGTTTATAATACATCCACAGGGGCATCCAAATATATCAAAATTGTAAAGAATCACTATCCAGCTAATTTTCAAAATTTACCAAAACTTTTTATTACCTTTAATCCCAATAATAATTAATAAATGACACAACTTTTTCAAGCTTAGATCCTCTTTCTTTGGTTGATGCATCTCACATGATGCATATCTCATGCATGAGTGATTTAAAACAAATTGAAGAGAGGGTACCAACAAGTCATTTTTAGGGCGGTATCTGAATTTCTCAAAATCACATTTCTAGAAAGTTCATTTTCTGCCCTTTCATATGATACCTCAATCATAAAAAGTGAGCTAGGAATAAGAAAGTTCTGTTTGTTTAAAATAATGCTCGTATTTCCATCAAAACGAATTCGTTTTCCCTGGCTGCCTGCCGTAGCAACAAACGGAGTTGACAAAA